ATGACAGGGTGTAATTTTTGTCTGTTATATTTTGATGTTTGAAAAATTTGGGAATAGGGTTAAAGTCTATCTAATAAGTAGTTCTATCAAGTTGAATGCTAGATACACGTTCATTTCTAATACACAGAATAAGCATCTTAAGATGCTTGTGTCTCACCCACGCGAAACGAGCGTAGAGTAATCAGCTTGCTCCACATAAGCACCTGCATCGATCTCTATCGTCGAATGAAATAGTACGAGCAACGAGTTGGTCGTAGACATCAGAATCAGATTACACCCCCTGGTAAGCTGGCAAACGAACAAGATTTTTTTCGTTAAAACAATGTTTCATGTTTAATGCATCGACGTCATGCTCGAACAAATAACTCGGCATCATCTCGTGGGCGAAAACTATTTCAACCTTTGCTCGATGGTGCTTAAACAAGCGAATCTGTTCGATCCACGGGGATCATCCGTGGCGTTACACCTACTCGTTCGAAGAAATTTGATCGGTCCGTAGATTCCATCTAATCCGTTTAAACCGTTGCCAGCTGATGGAAACGAAGCGCTAAGCGTTAAGAAGAGCTGAGGCATCGGCTCGTTTCTGATGACGAGAAACTCACGAGACACGACCGACGACACAAACAACCCTTCCAAACCGTGCTACCAATAGTCGTCTAAAAAATAGCGGCTAGAGATCCACTTTCATTGCTCTCTGTTGTAAAGTTTACTTGTTTCACATCAGGAAATTATAACTGAGAATTAAAATGTAATGCAATGTTCATTGGTGTAATTAAGTTGAGGCTAAGGTGAATTCGACCCCCCAAAAATGTGGACTGGTTCCCTTACTACTCTACAATTCTACAATTTTCAAATTCCAAACTTCTAAGTTTCTAAGATACTAAAATTTTCAAATTCCTAAATTCTGAAGTTCTAAGATTCTAAGTTTCTTAGGTTCTAAAATTCTAAAGTTCCAAGGTTCTAAAATTCCCAAATTCTAATATTCTAATAACACTGGACACTGTTAATAAAGTAAAGGGATCTGGCCCATCCCATAAATCTTAGTTAATTGCAAGAAAGATGAAAATCGAAAAATTAACTGTCACAAGTAGACAGAAATAATTATAATATTTCTAATGATAGATGAATGAATTACATAAACCGATTTCCATCACATTTTCAAGAAACCCTTATAGACACGCTATACGTAGGATAAACGTTATCTGTATTCAGGTAGCTCGTTTATTTCGTTTAATTGAAAGTCGACAGGCGGATGTCATCGAGTCGATCGAATCGAAGCAACGAGATCGTCTCGTGTTCAGTCGATAACAGGTAGGACAGCGTTTCCGAAAGATGCATACGTAATGGCGTGTTCCCATAAGATCTTCGAGGATATACCTCTGACGAAGACAGGACGATATTTAGCATTCCTGTCGTGGCCATTTTTTAGCGGTTTCCAGACTTTTAACACCAAAACAACCAATATTGAATGTACATTTACTTTTATATTGAAAATAACTAAATGAAAGAAAAGTCAACTTACACTTTATCAAAAGTACCTTAATAATTTATTGTATTTTAATATTAGGGTGTATTTCTACATTTCAATTGAAAAATAGAGATTCCTGGAAAATCAGAAATTATCAACAATAGAAAAGACGAAACGCGTAAAATCTATAAGTGTTATCAACATCGGGGCAACGTAGCCGCGTAAATTTCGACTGTTTAATTTATCGAATCGTAAAATTCAAATTTGGTATCGGAAACAGGATGAAGAAGCAGCGATAGGAACGCTCGTAAAAGATACGTCTCCGCGAATTTATGATCTGCTCCTTATCTGTACCCGTGTAAATCGATCCCGAATGGACAAATTGGAGACATGCACTGATTTTATACGGATCGATGAACAGAGAACCCAGTTCTCCTCTTTAACACCTCACCGTATATACGTGTATATAAACGACACTATAAATTCCTCTAACTTTGATGATCTAACGTAAAACAGTACAGAAAATTCAAGTTCCTGTTGACTCCAGATCGTGATATCAAAGAAGACGTATAAGACAATAATTAGTTTAGAAATAAAGTATCAAAGAATGCATTTAAAAATATATCAAGCAAAGTCAAAACTTAATAGTTACTAAAATATTAAATATAAATTGGTTTTATTTTAAGCAGCCTTTCAACTGTTGTTTAATCGCAATGCTAATATGCAGTGCCTGGCAACTCGTACTATTTAAAAGGATTGCTCTTCAGATGGATGTACACGGAACACCTTCTTCATGTATAATTTTCATTGAGCCTTAATGGCTATCTCATGTCGATAATATCTAATGTCTAACAAGGACAGTATTTACAAACTTGATCTACAAGGAGACTAACAAGGAGAATTCTCCGAGTGTCCCTCCCAGATTTTAATGAACTTTTGCATTTTGATAGATCGTATTATAAAGGTGCTATACACGATATTTCTTTTTACAGAGAGGTATTTGTGTATCTATGTGGAATAGAAGTGAATGATTTTTGAAACGATGCGCAGGCGATAACAGTGAAAGTCAGCGTGGGCCCTATCACCGTGGGTTCCAGTAAATTCTGATCGGACCCTATTGTGATAAGGGGCAACATCGAAATTTAATTAAACTCGCCCGGATTGACTGATTTACCCTTTTAGGAAGAGTTCGTGAGCGGACCGTTACATTTCACGGTGCTAGTTTCCAGGAACACTGGAACGAGCTACTTCTTAGAAAAAAGAATCTCCCAAGCTAATTAAACTAGATTATTATAAAATTCATTCGTTTAATATTCTCAACGATTCCACGCGTAATAATAAACAAATGAAAAAGAATATTTCACCGGAGTCTATGCGATTAATCTACTTGTACGAGCACGTCAACGCAACGAACGAGACAATTTTTCTCGTCGGGAAGATAAACGAATAAGATTAATGAACGCGTCGAAAAGTGAAGAAGATCGTAGCTGTTGAAGAAAAATATCATCTATAGCGGTAGCCTAATTAGAGCGCGTCCTATTAGCACGCCTTTTCTTTCACTTTCCATTAATTTCCCGTGTTTCTGTGCAAACACGTGATTTACATTCCGAATCGGTGAGATCTGAGGGTTTCTTTCGTGCCGCGTATTTCGGGGACCACCGACCATTGGTCACCATAAAATAATATTGTCCGAGCAAATGCCTGCCGACTACGCCGAGGACAAACTATTTTAAAGTCCGTTCTATGGTCTCTTTTGTTTATTTATGAGCGCACTGCTTTCGTGACCTCGACGGAAGATGTTATTACAAGGACCTTCTTGCACGGCACCGGGAAGCGATTAGGAAAACGACGAAAGGTGTACTTTGTTGTTGATACCGGTTCTATCACCACGGCTTCTTCGGCTTGTCGTTTCTGAACAACTTTACAGAGAATCGTGTTGAAGTCGTGAAAGAAATCTGATGACGAACACACTGTTTCTACGTCATTGGACCCTTTGCCGACAATCGACGCGTATGTGCGTTCAAGCCAGTCATACCTTATCAGTATCATGATAATACGAAATTTAATTTCCTTTATTTTTGTTAATTTCCAAAAACGTTTCCTAAAATTTTCAAAAATATTCCAGTGTTTATTAAACAAAGGATTTTAATTTTCTAATAGAGGATCAAGTTACCCTTTTAGTTCTCCCTAGTTGTTCTATTTAGACCAAGTAGAATCATCACAACAATTTATAATTTTGAAATAATTCGTTTAATTAATGTCTTGTTCCATGACATTTTATTTCGTTCTGCAAGAAAAGTAATCACCATTGAAATTCCTTTTGTATCGCTGCTGGTACAAATCCTTTCACGCAGGATCCACGATCGACCAATCATCAGAAAATATCGTCTACTCTGACAGAAAAGCATACTAGGGCGCATTGTCGTCAAAGAGGACGTTATTGTAACGTTCCACCCCAAAAGATTCGTCTGCAGAGAGGAATAAAAGGCGGCAGACAAATCGTAATTGCGATTCGCAGCACGCGCGACTTGGATTCCGACCACCGTGTTGTGTGTTTCTTCAGTAAACACGGGTACAATATTGCGTGTGGTCGAAAACATTTTTCGGTCGCTCGCGAAACGCCGTTCGCCCTAAAGGGCCCTCCAGGAATTCTTCGAAGCGACCGAGTTTCTTTTCAATATTATTCGCTTAACAGTACGAGTAACCTATTGAATTTAAATGTTAATTTAGGCGAACTTGCGCAATTTCTAAATAAATCTAAACTACACCAAAGATTTTAAGATACCGAAATTCTGGTCAATGATTTATTTCTAAATAATCAATCGTGCAGCGTTGACAACGATTTCAGATATACAGTCTGTTGACAAAGTTCCTTCGTGTTGTAACGTTGGTAAAACGAGTGTTGAAGAGGAACGATCATAAGCCGATCGACGTTCCATTAGCACGAAATTTTCAAGTTTACGTTGGCCGATGTTAGAACAAACACGGTCGGCAAGAATCAAAGGGGAGACCGCCGAAAAGATTGGCTGAGGTACGTTGGTCGTGCCGAAGAAATCTGCAAGCTCATGCCCTTGAAAATCCTTTCTTGCCGCGTAACTCGAATGGGTTTCGATACTGCTGGTTCTCTCGAATCCGACGTCGGCTTGCTTCGAAACTCGTATGCTTTTGTTGTTGTAGCACATTTCCTCCGTGGCAAACAACACCCCATCGGTTTACCTGGTAATTGCTGGAAACACCGGCCGAGTGTTTACAGTGTCATCGAGGTATGGTCACACCTTACCGTACGAAACCACTTGGGAAGCTCGTTTTCTTCACCTGGGATCACACGGTACAATACCTTTCTAAGGGTCAGCAAACTATTATTTCAAAGCTTGCAGAAGTTAGCAAGTATACGATTGATATCGTTCCTTAGAAATTTTCCAAAAGATAGTCTTTAGAAAGCAACATATAACTAACGATATTCACGTTGAGTTGAAATTTGTTTTATTTTCTAACATTTTCCATAATAATAATCATCCATGAAATATTTTCGTTTTTTTTTTAATTATCAACCGTGTGATCCATTGATCCTTTAGGCCGAATGTAGTTCCCTAGATCATCGTTCTGAATTGTAGAGTGCGCAACAAAGCAAAAAGGAGGTTGTAAGCTACGTCGGTATTTCAGAACGTAAGACACGAAGTCATATAAGATGACAGGTTTATTCTATACCTGGTCTGTGTTCTTACCATGAAGATCGTTGTGATATTATAATACCAACTGTAGTCGATATAACAGAATGTAACAGCATTCGGTAATTAATCTATCAACCTAAGAGTACTTAAATTTCGCCTGTGGTAATAATAAAAAATGTAGGCTTACAAAAAGTTGTACAGTTGAGTATGGTAGGTTTATAAAAAATTGTACTGCTCCGAGGTTGGGACTTTTCGCGTAAGCATCTCTTCCCTGAGTTCCCGCCCCTTCTCTACAAATTGTGATAATTAAAACTTACAGTATTTGGTTTCTGAATCACTTTTAATATTAATATTGTCTTTTGTACATTTTTAATTATTCTTAAATTGGTGCAAATTTTATTTACAAACTGTTAATATAGATAACTACTATAAAAAATGATGAATAACATAATTTACAATACACATTTGTTGTAAATTAGATGATTATTAAATATTCTTTCAATATGAATACATGAAACAAACCTATGCAAGATATGAATGTATAAAGTAATGTGAAGGATGCTTCTGTTTGAAATCAAGAATTTAACTATTCATTTCCATTTCTTCTGGTTCTTGTTCGTCATTCGATTCTTGCATCATTTCTTCTTGTTCTGCAGCTTCTTCCAGCTTCTTTCTTTCCTTAAGTCCTGCAGCAGGTGATCTTATGAGAGACAAATCACGTTGAACTTCTTTAACATCCCTTTCTTGTTCTAATTCGCGTCCTTTACGTAATCTTTGCATTATATGTAGATTCTGTCTTCTCTGTCTGATAGTTTCTACTTTCCTCATTGCTTCAATCGTCTTGTTCCATAATTCTCTATTGTATTTAACAGGTATATTTCTTCTTTTTTCAAATTCAAATGCTGGATCCACTGCCAATTCTTTGCCTACAGTTTTCCTGTACGCTTTGGTCCATCTGACTTTTCTTGGATTCTTCTTCTTCTTGAATGCAGCATGACATTTTGAACGGCAAAATTTGAATATCTGTATTAAAAATATACAAGATAAAATAATGTACAATTTGTACAATTTGTAAACCCAATCAGAAAACTAACCTTATAATGCAATAATCTTAGATTACAGAATACGATTCAGTAATTTGCATTTATACATTTTTTAACAGAATACTGACCTTACAATCGTTCCTTACAAATTGAATTCCATGTCCTGGGTAAATCCGGGACGAACAAAAATAACACGTTTCTATACGCATATTGCATAAGGTTAGGAAATCCTTAAGCAAAACTTGAAATCAGAGGTGTGAATACATCCTAATGAAAATCGACTAACAACAGCGCTACCTATAAATTATATTTTAAATGATGATTTTATTAAGAAATTGTTCGATACATATTGTTGCTTTTAAGTGTTTACAGTATGAAATATTATTTATATTTATGAATATACGATCATCAATAAGTAACTAAATAAAAGGGGTATCTATAATTTTTTATTGTTATTTTATTATTATTATTTCATAACTAATAAAATAATTTGAATTTAAGCCTTTTAAAATGTTATTAACTCATAAATGTTTAGTATCTTAGAAGAGCTTATAAATTACTGTAATATTAAAGAAGAGAGATATCTTAATGAATAAACTGAAGAGTGTCTTGGTAATAGGATCATTCTGCTGAATTCAATCTTAATTTTTAGAATTTTCAAAAACTGCGTTTTAACAAAAAGATATTTAAAATTAAATTACGCAATTGGTTATTTTTATGCATTATTGTGCCACATCTATTGATTTGAATAGAGCATTGTAGAGACATCTAACGGTGTGGGTCTTGGCATAAAAGTCAGTGGTGCTGGATGAGGTCTTCTCGTTGGACCGTCTGTACGTAGTTAGTAAAAATGAATGTTGTGGCGAAATCGTCGAATTTGTCACCTTTTTTAAGGTCGACTGTGACTGTCGTTACAAATGGAACACAACCAGTAGTTTCAAGTGCTGCTGTTGTAAAACCAAAGATTGTTGGGAAATCTACCGTCAAACTACTACTTAAAGAAAGTATGCTTCAAAGTCTTATTACAGGGCCTTTGCGTGTAAGCTCAGGAATCGGAGGTACAAAAAATATGTTTATATGTTATTTTATTAATCATTATATTTTTTAAATAAATTTTAATTTCGTGTAAATTGCGATTATATAATCATGTCATACACTGTACAGAGTTTACAGATTACTGTAATACCAATGGAGTATTTTAATTATTTTAAGAAGAATCTTGCTATTGTTTTGTTATATAAAAAACAATTACAAGTTGAAAGGTGGTATGCTTATTAATTGATTCTTATAGCGAGCTTACTAGCAGTGCAAAGGAGAATGGCTCATACCGATATTCAATGGCCAGATTTTACTGACTATCGTCAAGACTCTACTAAAGATCCAACAGTTAAGAGTAAAGAATCTGCAGCTAGTCGTAAAACTTTCACATATGTTATGACAACTGGTCAGTAAATTTACTGCTTCTTTTTGTAATTTACAGGATTTCAAAAATATACATTCTTATTTGTTATGTAGCTATGGGTGTTGGTTGTATGTACTCTGCAAAATCAGCTGTACATAATGCTGTATCTCTATTAGCTGCAACTAAAGATGTTTTGGCTTTAGCAAAAATTGAAGTTAAACTTGATACAATTCCAGAAGGAAAAAGTGTCATTTTTAAATGGCGTGGAAAACCTTTATTTGTACGTCACAGGTAAATATTTGTACATTATCAATTCTTTATACCGCATATATGTTAGTTAAAATTGGTATTTATTCTAAAATAACAATAGGTCAGCAAAAGAAATCGAAAAAGAATCGCAAGTTGATATTACAAATCTTAGAGATCCACAAGACGATAAGGATCGTGTGAAACAACCAGAGTGGTTAATTGTGCTGGGAGTATGTACGCATTTGGGATGCGTCCCAATTGCTAATGCTGGTGAATTTGGTGGTTATTATTGTCCTTGTCATGGTTCTCACTATGACGCCAGTGGGAGGATTAGGAAAGGACCAGCACCTCTAAACTTAGAAGTGCCACCTTATGAATTCATTGATCAGAAAACTGTACTAGTTGGTTGAAATGTAAATGTTTGTAGTCAAATGATAATGTTCTTTCTAATGTCACTTTTTTTGCACGAATTCTTTTATTCTAAATTTAGACAAAATATTTTCTTTACAATTTAAATTATCAGTACGATGAAGTATTATAAACACAATAAAATTGTGTAAATAATACAATAAAGTGTAACCGAAATAGAACCACTATGTTTAATTCGTTTCCAATTAAAACTTGTTAATTACCAACCATTGTGTCATTTATATTTATGTAGACGTAGCATACATGTATTAAACAATGACATTACTTTATTTCCTCAAAAAACAAATAGAATGTTACATATCATAGTAGATGATATATATATATAGTTATATAATTATTACATTAAACATAACAAATTATATCGTATAAATAAAACAAAAGTAGGAATATTATATCGCGAATAAATTCTGTGAGTACTTGAAGATGGGAAAGTTCTTCCCGCTTCCGCTAGACGCCGCCACCTGTTTTAGACCAAATTTTCGTTTTCAAAGCACGGCAAGGGCGTCTATGCGACCGACAATCTGCCGACCGGTCCTCTGTTTTCAGTCGCCTTCGCTGCGGGCAGCGTACGGACGGAAGAGTTGAGAGTTTTTCGCGAAAATCGGTTGTGTTTCTTAGACTGTCATCATTTTACCGCTATCGTATACGATGATACAAAAGTCCCTAACTCTTCGACAAGTGATTTTCGTGAGCATACATTCGAAATAAGAACAAAAATGTACTCCCGAAAATGAGTTTTCTGTTGACGCGTTACCGGTACTTAGCAATACATCGCGAAAGGGTTATAATCGAATAATACTCGATACCAAATAATAAGGTGACACATTGAAGAATAAGAAAAGGGTAAAATACGAAACAAAAGGCGGGAAACGAATGCGTGGAAAACCGATTTTGGTAAGTTTTAATCTACTTTATTTAACATTTACATAATTTTTTTTTCTGTATTACCTTTATCCACTTTGACTATTTTAACACATACTCATCGTGTATAATGTCAATGAATCGCATGTTAATACATAATACTTGGTTAAAACAATTATAATTTAAATGAAATTGTCAAACAGAACGACACGACAAAAATACGTATAAATTTTTCTTGATTCCTTATATCGAATGACTTTCAATTTGTGAATTGATCGGTGAATCAAATCGTGTAGCTGAATGTTCTGACAATTGTTATTGAATAGATTTCGAAGCACGATGTCTGTCGCACAAATTCACCCGTACAGTAACCTAGAGCAATTGTTTTCGTAACCTTAACGAGACACATGTTGTGTTTCTGCATGTTTGGTTCCACCGGTATGATGACTTTAGTACATTTGAATCATAGTTTGCATCCTGTTAACGGTTTAAGCACGAGTAGTCATAGTTTTTGCCATACTACTTGCGTGCCTTTCGAGTCGTGTAAACAAAGGCACTGATCATCATGTCCCGACACGATCAGTGCGTTAAGGTCGGTTCTGGAAACACGAGTGCAGAAGTCGTTTCGCTTCTTTGATTTCTCTCGTTACGTATCCTTACGTACGTTCTCATTTAAGTGAATATTTGAAACGAACAATTTTATCGTGTAGTCTACAGAGACTGAAGAATATTGCGTTATACTTCGTCTCGACATTTGGTGAGGAAAAAAAGTAATTATATTTTGTATAAAGTATTACATATAGTATTTATTATATGAAATCATATTGATTATAATTCATAACGAACACTTTTATCTTTCTTTCACAAAATCCAAATAGAATTTAGTAGATTCGTTAACCAGTAATGAATTCAACAATATTGGCTCACCGCCATTGTTTGTTCCCGCGCGATCGCAATTTTCACGCATCAGCTGAAACGTATTTCGGTTATTCCGGTTAATTACCCTCCGGATAACGCGAGGCAGCTCAAGCCGAATAATAAGAAGGCAACAAAGTTCGTTCTCTCCATCGTGCATTGAAGTTATTCAATATCGAAGGACGTCTGTGTTAGGATCTGGTTTACTGTTTGCAAAATGCTAACGCTGACCCTCTCCAGAATTTCGTATACGCGCCGCGTCGTCGTCGAGGCGAAGTTGCAAGTGCAAAGCCGCGGCTACCGGGCTTTTCGGACATGAGAGAGAGAAAGAAATATAGAGAGCACCCCTCTTCGTCCCTCCCGCCGTGCACACCACTTTAACCAGCCCTTGCTTCTCTTCCTCCTTTCTTCTCGTACCTTCGCATAGCTGCGCGGCGTGCGCGTACTAGCATTCTAATTCTTTATGCAGCCGGCCAAGGAAGTTCACAGTAGGAATGCACGGAAGGGAGGTTGCAAAATCCTGTTCCCTTGTTTTTTTTCTTTTCTTCTCATTTTTCTCCCTCTTTATCTCGCTTGCTCTTTCTCTTTCTGTGAAAGAGGTCGTTTTGTGCCCTGCATTCATCGGGACGCACACGGTGGTGCGCGTGTGTGCACACATGCCCGTTCAGCCACGTGTGCCCGTGCACGTACGAGGACTAGGGAAAGCGGGTAAGCGTTTGCGTGCGTGCGTACGCTTCCGAAAGTGAGTGGGACACGCGGTCCTTCACGCTGAAGGAGAATCAATAGATGTGCGTTGCATCTTGCCCCTCTTGTCCCCCATTTCGGCTGTCCCGCGCGCACCCTTCTTCTGCCGCTGACTCGACCTTCGCAGGAGAGTACCTTCGTCGAGCATCCCTTCTTCACGATTCGTTGTTATCTCGTGTTGAAAAGATGTGCACCAGTAGATGATGGCTCGTACGTTTGTCGAAGGAATTTTCGTTTCGCGTAAATTGACGAGGGATGAATCTCCGTTAGGGTGGAAAAGCTTGGCTCGATCCTACGGGTTTTGGGAAAATTCGTTTATAGATAAGTCGATTTAAAGCGCAACGCACACGCGGAATTTTAATTCTCATGAATTACTCTCGCGAAGGTGTAGGAATATCGTACGCAGATTATGAATAACTAAACGACCTCAAGCTTCGTGTAACCTATGACCTTTGTAATTTTATCCGAATAAAGCCTGGCGCTAGAATTGTATTTGAAAGGTCTCGTTAATAGAAAATTTTTATTCTTTTTATTTTTCTTGCTATTTAATTGCGTTAAATTTATATTGAAGGTCATTTGTAATTCTTACAATGGTCTACATATTAGCATTTACATCATACTGTAGATAGAAATATATGAATTTGATATTAGTAATTTAGATAAGTTTTCGATTAAAATATTTACACATATTTGATAATTTTTATTTAATAGTTTGATATTTTCTGTTACGAAAAGTTTCCATGATTCCGACAACGTTTCAATCGATTTTACATGGCGTTCGTCCTCCGTGTCTTACTACCCTCACTCGTGTCATGTAGAAGATGTTATCCGCTTGAAAGTTGACGCGTAAATCAAGATACAACGACGGATAAACGGCAATTGCCATATAATCCGTCAAAATAGAGTAACTTCAACGTATGCTCGAATCGTGCGTTCAGCACCGACCATCCTGTTACATCGATTAAACGTAGAGATAGATACCTGTTTGAGCAGCAACCGTTCCTCTTATCCGGCTACTGAATTATTTAAACGGGGAATCGTTGTTTAACGATACTTTTGTCACTTTATTTACTTTTCCCTCTTGCCCATTGCCTCCTCTTCATTCCCATTGAATTTCAACAGTCATACTTAATAATTTTCTTTCTTTTTGTTGCTATCAAAGTATTTCATTTTTAATGACTGCCATTTTCAACAATTAAAAGATTCAGCAGATTGAGTAACAATTTGGATGTTTAACATTCATAACCGCGATCGTTTGCACTTTCTCTAAAGTTAATTGCAAATAATTCACCGAGAAGAAAACACGATTACAACTGCATCATAGAATGCACAGTAACACTGGTGTATACTAATGTATCCGCATATTTATTGATCTATCCATTTATCCGTATACCCCGTAGTCCTTAACTTCGGAGGGTTGCACGGGGTGCAACTTTAAACATGGATGTATACATAGAAACCGGTAACACGATTGTCATGCTTCTTTAATTGTATTCCTAATCGACTGGTTCTATTCGTTATCATTTATTTCTCTTCTGTTGGAAAGTCGATAATTTAAGCGATAGTGTCTAACGTCACCGAATGTAAAAGAAAATTCCAAGAGTTAAAAGTTGCATTTCCACGAAGGGGGTGGATGAGGAACAGGGAGGAGGGGGTAAATCGAAGCGAAGACCGTGAAAAAGCAGCGAAAGTGAGCGCGGGTAATCGTAATCGTTCGGAACGTGGCTGAGTTTGGGAAACGAAGGAAGCTCTGGGGGCGGAAGGAGAAGGGCGGGAGAGGTCGAGCCAGGGGAGGCACAGGTGAAAGCGAAGCCAAGGTGGTCGAGTTAGAGCGGTGTTTGGGAGGGTGAAAGGAGGTTAATGATTAGTTCTTCCGAGGTCGGGGGCTGTTGCCGGGTGCAGGTTGCCTGGCTCCCTTCAGACCACCCCGTTTCGCCCTTCCGCCCCCCGAGGACATCATCCCACCCTCCTTCTCGTCCCTCACGTTCCCTCCCGCTTTTTCGCCCTTCAATCCCCTCCGTACTCACCGATTCTGCCAACCTCCAAAATTTCTGGCCCTACCACCGACGCAGCTACGCATACCGCCGCCAGAAGGAGGGTGTGTGAGCTTGCAAGGTTGTTTTCCCCTCCAACCTTGCTACTACCTCCAGGAACGTAGCTAGACCGCGCGGAATTTCCCGGCGGGAGCACGCGTGCTCGAGAAATTTTATATCGGCCCAACGATCCTCGATGCACCACATCCAGTGGACTCGTTCCCGCTTCGGTAAAAAAAATTTTGCAGAGGGTGAACGAGGTATCCCGGTATGCGAGACATTGCCTTAATTATCGAGCAATGCTAGTTATGCGAGCCAGGGTGAAAGGGAATCATGGTCGTAATTCGCGTTGAAATTCGTTTCCATCGTCGACTAAATTTTAGTTATTCCATGCTGTAAGATGATCCGATTTTTCAAAGTCCTATGTAATTAGAAAATTATATATTCAAATGAGACTGATACATGGCCCAAAGCAACGTTCATTTATCCATATGTTAATTTCATTAATTGGGAAGATGTAACGCAAAGGGTGCTCTTCGTGGCATTATTCTAAACGTCACTTAGCCAGGATACTTCTCATTAACTTCCTTCTTATCGCGGTTA